GTCCCAGGTCCTTTCAGGCTGCTGCCCGGCGCTGGGCTCGGAGGGAGCGTCCGAGTGAGTCCGTGCCGGGCCCTTTAGAGGAGCTGCTGGGGCTCCCGCAGCCTCCGAGATCCTCAGGGACAGTCCCCGCCGGTTTCACAGCCCGGAGCTGTGGGGACGTCTCTTCCTGGCCCTGGAGCCCTGGGCTGGGGGCCTGCTGTGGGGCTGGGACCCCTCACTCCTCTCGGAAACTCCCACCGCCGAGATTCCCTTCCGGTTTCAACAGCGGTACCGGGTGTGGGCCCGCGGCCGCGTCTCGGGGATTCAGCCCCCNTCCTCTCGGAAACTCCCACCGCCGAGATTCCCTTCCGGTTTCAACAGCGGCACCGGGTGTGGGCCCGCGGCCGCGTCTCGGGGATTCAGCCCCGATCCGCCCGCGTCTCCGCCCCTCCTCCCGCTGTCAATGCTCCTTCAGCTCCCTGGTTGTGGGGCTTCTGTGCAGCCAGATCTCAGGAGGCTCTGAGTGACGGTGGTTCTGTATTTTAGTTGTAATTTTGATGTGGTTGCGGGAGGCGGCAGGTGCAGCTGTTACCTGCGCCGACGTCTTGTTTCTCCTCTGTTTCATTTTTTTAATCAGATTGTCTGCTTTTTTGAGTTGTATGAGTTCTTTATTTATTTCAGATATTAACCCTTGTCAGATAAACAATTTACAAATATTTTCTCCCATTTGATAGGTTGTCTTTTCATTGTGGTGATGGTTTCTTTTGCTTTGCAGAAACTTTTTAGTGTGTTTTAGTCCCATTTATTTATTTTTGCTTTTGTTGCCTTTGCTTTTAGTATCAAATCCAAAAAAAAAAACATCGCCAAGGCTGATGTCAAAGGAGCTTACCTACTGCCCATGTTTTCTTCTAGAAGTTTTATGGTTTTAAGGCTTACTTTCAAATTTTTAATCCATTTTGAGTTAATGTTTATGTATGTGTAAGATAATGGTCCAGTTTCATTCTTTTGCATGTGGCTGTCCAGTTTTCCCAACACCATTTATTGAAGGGCTGTTTTTTGCCCATTGTATGTTCTTGGCTCCTTCATTGTAAGTTAGTTGACCACATATGCATGGGTTTATTCCTGGGTTCTCTATTCTGGCCTGCTGACCTACATGTCTGTTTTTATGCCAGTACCATACTGTTTGGATTACTATAGCTTTGTAATATAGTTTGAAATCCAGAAGCGTGATACCTCCAGCTTTATTCTTTTTCCCCAAAATTCCTTTGACTATTGGACTTGATTTGCGCCTCACTCACAGTAGTACCAGGTGGAAAATAGAGGGTGAGGTTCACTCATATTTTGGCAGCTCAGTTTGTATGAGGGATAAAGCAAAATAGGGTGATTAGGATTCTGGGCCTAGAGTGGTTCTATCTACTGAAGGATGACAGACCCCATGACATTGATCACTTGCCCCTTGTCAGCAAGTGGGAGGTACATGCAGGGGGCTTGGTAGCACCCAAAGACCCAGTCACTGGCTTCACCAGAACCTTGTGCTCTTGTACATGCCCAGCACTTGAGTGCCACTGTCTCTTTGTTCATACTGAGCCTGCCCCAATAACACCTTCCCAATCCCACCCACCTGCCCTCTTTCCTCTCTGAGTGTCTAAACCCTAGAATCACTGGAATACAAAGTTCAATAAATCATCTCATTGTCTGCAGGCAGTAGGGTGACCAGCTATTCCAGTTTGCCCAGGACAGAGGGATTTCTCAGAATACGGCACTCTCAGTGCTGAAACTGGGACAGTTGGTCAACACGATAGGCAGACAAGTGAGACATCTTTTACAGCTCACTTCAGATGCCTCGTCTTCTAGGAAGTCTTGCCTGGTCTCCTTAGCTGGGAGCAATCTTTCTCCATTGAACATTATTTGTGCCTGTCCATGCCTGAACTCCACATTCATCCCTACGCCAGGGTTTGAGTGCATGAGGCAGGAGTTTGAGGACATCTTGTTGTTCTGTGTCCTGTAGCACCAGCTGAGGATTAGAGTGGGCTGGGGCAGCAGGCTGGGTGACCTACCGGGGGCTCTGCCATTCAGCCCCTTTCCACAACTATAGAATTTCCACAAAGCTGGCTCCGATATCACTCTTTGAAACATTTAATTACATATAAAGATCTTGAAGGCTGGCTGTCACCTCCTAGGGAAACATTTCTTTTTCCTGCTCCTTCTGAAGTTGGCTGCTTGAAAAGTAATGAAATTGAACTGAAGATGAAACAACCAGGGGTGTAGGCATTAGTGAACGGAAAAGACAGCAGGAGAGAGAGACGGGAGGGGCGACAGAAAGATGGAGCCAGGGGAGGGGCCGGGAGTTAGAAGACATGTTCACAGAGAACAGGGTGCAAGAGGTGAGACCCTAATGAGTCTCAGAAAGAGAGGGAAAGGGCAGGAAGGAGAGAGAGATGGGAGCTGGGCTGGGGAGGTGCCAAGCAGAGGAGTAAGGCCACAGAGAAGAGGAGTGGCAGATCCTAAGAAAAGGGGCCTGGCTGAGAGGAACAGAGCCAACCAAGAAGAGTTAGCAAAAGCAGAGGAAGGTAAACAGCTGGCACTTCCAGAATTTCAATACAGGAGAGGGGGCTTTGGGAGGCATTGGTTGCAAAGGACTGGTTGGGACTGGGAGATGCATTGAAGAAACAAGCTTCTTAGCTTGTATGATTGGTTATTTCGGTGGCTTGGGGAAGAGCTGATGGAGGTTAGAAGGCACCAAAGCGTCCACCCAGATACCCCTTGCTGCCTCCTATGGGGAAGAGCGAAACAGACAGAGGGCCGCTTGGGCTTAGTTTCCCCACCCCCATTGCAAGGAGAGTCCATAGGGTCCCTCAGCCTTGACCTGCTCCTCTCTTGCAGGCTGCGACAGTGACCACTGGGGCCCCCATTGCAGCAACCGGTGCCAGTGCCAGAACGGTGCCCTGTGCAACCCCATCACTGGCGCCTGCGTGTGCGCCGCTGGCTTCCGTGGCTGGCGCTGCGAGGAGCTCTGTGCGCCTGGCACCCACGGCAAGGGCTGCCAGCTGCCGTGTCAGTGCCGACATGGTGCCAGCTGTGACCCCCGCACCGGCGAGTGCCTTTGTGCGCCTGGCTACACTGGTGTCTAGTGAGTAAAATGGCACTGGGCGTGGAAGGGAGGGCTCATCCAGCTGACCTCTTGGCAGCTGCATGTTCCCCTCCTGCTCCTTGCAGGTGGGTAGGGCGGTGGTAACAGATGGAAGGTCAGGATAGTCCTGGCTGTAAATATCCTACTCTTGGACCCTAAGTCCTGCAGAGGCTAAATGCCCAGACCTTGCCCATACTCCAGGGTGACTGGTGTAAGCTGACACTATGCATGGATGGGTGCTCCCATGGCCAGAGGAGCTCATTAAACTCCTCCCAGGAGTCCCTTCCTGGTCAGGGCCCAGACCTTAGCTTGTCATTCTCTTCTGATCATAACCCATCTGGGTCCTGGCCCTTCCAGCCCATTTAAAACAGAGCAGGGTGAGGGCCCTGGCTAGATACCATGCATAGATTTGGGTAGTTTACTCTGCCTGTTCCTCTCCCCTACCTCCTCCCTCAGACCCCACACAGCCCCTCACTCCGGCTCCCCGCTGAGTCTTGTATTGACAGAGTACCTCTAAGACTGCTTTGTTGAGACCCCCTCAGAGGCAAGATTGAAGCCCGCCCCCCCCC